TCTAGATAGCCATTAAGAAAGGGTGACTTTACGTCCATCTGATAGATCTTCCACCGGTTTTGTGCTGCCAATGCGATAATGAGTCGAATGGTGTCGATCCTCGCGACTAGTGCGAACACTTCTTCATAGTCAACTCATTCTCACTGACTATAACCCTTTGCAACAAGCCCGGCCTTGTACTTCTTGATTCAGCCGTCTTGATTTGTCTTTGTCTTGTACACCCACTTTACTCTAATGGGTTTATGGCCTTGAGGTAAGGTGGTGAGCTCCCATGTGTTTATGGCCTTGAGGTAAGGTGGTGAGCTCACATGTGTCATTTCTCTTGATTGCCTCAATCTCAACATCCATGACTTTTCTCCACTTGTCTTCTTGAGTAGCTTCTTCATAGCTGACCGGATCATATTCTGCAAACAAGCAGAATAGTGTGTAGTCATCCATCATCTCGACAGGTTCTGTATCGTCGTACATATCTCTTAGACTTCTCGTCCTCCTTGTTGCTCCCCCTAAAGAGCTTCCTTTACTTGAGCTGGATGGTGATGACGTCATCATCGATGTTGAGGTTGATGGAGCTGGACCATTTGGTGGACCTTGTTCTGGTCTTCCAACCTCCTGCAAGTCATCATCATTATCTTCAAAGAACATACCTTTAATGTTTTTGTCTTCATCGGTCTGTATCCAATAATCTTCTTCATCGAACTCCACGTCTCTTTAAATAATCATCTTCTTTGTAACTGGATTGTAGAGCTTGTATGCTTTTGTCCTCCTCTTGTACCCAACGAATATGCACTTTTCTCCTCGATCGTCCAACTTCTTTCTTTTCTGCTCCGGGATGTGTGCATATGTAATACACCCAAACACCTTCAGGTGGTTGACACTTGGCTTGATGTTGCTCCACATCTCCAATGGTGTCTTGAACTTAACGCTCTTTGTTGGACATCGGTTGAGGAGGTAAACTGCACAGTCCATGGTTTTAGCCCAGTAAGTCTGCGGCAGGTACTTGCTCTTCAACATATTTCTGGCCATATCAAGAATAGTACGATTCTTCCACTCTGCTATGCTATTTTGCTATGGTGTGTAGGTAGCAGTGAATTGATGAATTATCCCGTACTGCTTGTTGAAATTGTTAAATGCCTTCGAAGTGTATTCTCCGCCTCGATCTGATCGGAGCACCTTGATGTGGTACCCACTTTGCTTTTCTATCATCTTTTTGAATTCTTTGAACTTCTCCAGAGCTTCGGATTTCTCCTTCAGGAAATAAACCCAAGTTTTTCTGCTATAATCATCAATAAATGTGAGAGAGTACATATTTCCTCCAAGAGAGACGACTTCAAATGGTCCTGTAATATCTGTGTGGACCAATTGTAGCAGCTCTATTGCTCTTCTTGACTTTCCAACTTTGAAACTTCTTCTATGTTGCTTGCCCTTCATACAACCTTTAAATAGCTAGTTCAGATGATTGATTTACGACAATCCTTTCACTATTTTCTCCTTCTACAGAAGATTCAGGCCATTGAATGCAAGATGCCCGAATCTCAAATGCCAGAGCCAAGACTCATCCTTCATAATCATCTTTAAGCACTTGACAGGATCAGTATGAATATTTAAGGTAAACAGTCTATTTCGAGACATGTTCACCTTTGCAATTACTTTATTTTTATTCTTGATAGTGAGGGCAAGGTCGTTTAGATGTATATCGTAGCCTCTTTCAAGGAGCTGGCCTAGACTCAAAATATTATTTCTTAGTACTTGAACATAATAGACGTTAGAGATGTACCTATTCTCACCCATCTTTGTCTGGATCATTATCGTGCCCTTGCCCTTTACCGGAATCTTTGACTGGTCTCCAAAAGTGACATCTCCATGTACCGTCTCGTTCAGCTCGGTGAAAAAATCCTTGATGTCGCACATGTGGTTACTGGCACCTGAATCTAGATACCAGATATCTTTATTCTTACTTTCACTCTCCTAGTACGTCAGCAAGACTGTTGAAGTGTCTGGCTACTCCCTTTCTACAAAGTTACTTCTTTCTGCCACTTAATTTGATTTCTCCCAACATTCGTAGCTGAGATGGCCGTATCTCTTGCCCTTGTAACACTGTGGCTGAGATTTGCCCTCCTGGTAACTACTTCCTTGTCCTCATCCTCGTGCGCCACGACCTCGTCCTCGATTGAACAATCGTTCACGATCTCCATTTTGATTTTGATTTTGATTTTCATGGCCTCCTTGGTATTGTCTCCTATGACCTTGCTGGAAGTTTGAGCGACCTCGAAAAGAGACTCTGCCTCTATAGCCTCCACGTCCTCTTCGACTATCTTCTTTGATACTCATCTTACTCTACAAGGCTTGCTCTAGATTCTCCGCTTGATTTGAACTGATGTTTATATCTTGTTCATAAGCTTGCAGAGAACCTTGTAGCTCATCAATAGAAACTTCGGAAAGATCTTTAGACTCTTGTATTGTCAGAATATTATATTTGAATTTAGAGTCTAAAGTCCTAAGTATCTTCTCCATAATTCTTACATCATTAATTGCTTCTCTATTTCTCTTCATTTGATTAGTTATCGTCTGAACTCTACTAAAATAGTCTGATATTGATTCTGTAGCTTTCATCTTCAAAATTTCAAATTCAACTCTTAATGCTTGGAGGCGTACCTTTTTGGCTCTTTCCGCACCTTGATAGGATTTTTGTAAAATCTCTCATGCTTTTTTAGAGGACAGGGCATTGAAATCTTCTCAAACGCTGATTCATCTACGCCTTGGAATATTAGGAACAAAGTTTTTTTGTCTCTTTTTCTGACCTCCTTTAGCTCACTCTTCTGTGTGGCGGTGAGAGTTGCTTCGCTACAGGTGACTCTGGTTCAGTGGAGCCATTCTCCATGAGCTCCCACAAGTCTTGCGAGCCAAGCAAGACTTTCATCTGGATACTCCAGTTGTCATAATTGGTCTTCATCTGCTTCGGAATCTGTGGCTGGATCATGTTCGCCATCTCATACACGAGCACCTTCGATTGGCCCGGCTAGATCGAACATTGCTCTGATACCACTTTGATGGAATTTGTAGAATACAACCCTCTACACAAATAAAACTTTTGTTGATAGAACACTAGAGAGTACAGTATTTGCTCTTACAAGAGCACCTCACTTTCACACAACCGTTTATTTTGGTGGACACTCACACAAGGCTACACTACACACTCAAGCTCTCATGCTCACTTCTTGCTTGTTTGCTTGCCCAAATGAGAACTCAAGACCCCTATTTATAGTTGTTTAAGAGGGCTAGGAAGTGTGTGGAAGAATCAATGCTAGTCATACATTATTACCATATTCTACACACTTCTCCTAAAAGATCTTCTTTCTACATCCTTCTACAATTTTCTTTTAAAAATATATTTCTTCCACATTTGTTGAGAAACTTCCATTGTCTTGGGCTTAGATGAAATGGATTTGGGCTTTTATTTTCCTTGGGCTGAAAATAGATTAGGCTTTGAAATGTGCTGGTGTTGACCTTCAACATCCTTAATGGGGGTCGAACTCTCTCACGTTTGGCTAATTACGTATGGAATTCAAGCTACCACACAAGGTCAAAATCTTCTATTGGCTTATGTCCAATAGGGGACTACAAACAGAAGAAAATTTACTTAAAAGGAATGGGAGGAGGACCTAGGCTGCCAATTCTACCTCAAAGAGATTGTAATAGATGAGATAGACATCTCTTTCTTCAATGTACTTTCACTCAGAAAATATGGATGCTTATTTTACCTTTCTTGCCTTCAGTTAAATGGCCAGTGAGCTTTGAAAATCTGCTTGCTTCATATGGTTGCATCTTTCATGGGCTTTAATATCAAACAGTTGCGGAGCGTACTTTTTCCTGCTCTGTGCTGGTGTCGATGGTGTGCCAGAAACAACCACATTTTTAATGACATATTCTTATGAAGCCTGAAAGGATTGCGTCTAACGCAACACATTTCGTGCTATATATTCTAGGCAGGCAATTCAAACACGAATAGAGCTACAGGGATACAAACGATTGCTTGGGAACAAGGTCTAGACTTGCTGCTACAAGGTCAAAGACAAAGACAAAGATGGCACGGGTGCTCACTCCTGAGGATTTTATAGGAAGTTTCTTTTGTTGGGTTAATAGTCTAACCACTCGTTTGGTACGCGGGAATGGACTCAAATGAGAATGGAATGGAAGAAGGAATGGAATAAAATGAAATTAATGTGGGAATGGAATAGTCATTCTCATTCTCACGTTTGGGTATAATTTATAAAATGAAGTGGGAGTGAACGTATTTTAAAATTGTATATTTTATTGATTTCCATTTAAGTGGGAATGCACATTCCCTATCATTTCATTGGGAATGCTCATTCCCACATAAAGTAAAAATTGATGAGAAGTGAGAATGAACATTCCAACTTCAAAAAAGAGGGTGTGTTTAGTAGGAAGAAATGAGAAGTGAGAATGATCATTTCATTCCACCCTTTTCCCGCGTACCAAACGAGGCCTAAGTTTCTCTTGGATATTCAGCTCTATGTACTCCGCTATGTTAATTTGTATGGGTTAAAACTTGACTTTAGAGAGTTCTATTCAAGCATCCATGAATAGTGCCATAGGTGACTACAAGGGTCCTCTCTTTATGCACAAAGTATGAACTGGTTGATCACTGCTCTACTTATCATCTTCTTTTGTTCTATCCTTAGCTTTCTATTTTAATGCAAGTGCTTGGCAAGGCACCTCGCCATGTTTAATCTTAAAATTAAAAAATAATAATAAAAAGAAGGTACATCAGTTTCATATATATACCGTTACAAAGAAAATTATCCAATTGTTTTTTTTTCCTTTTTGAAATTCCGAGTGACAAATTAATCAGGGAGAGCTAAATCATATATATATGATGAGGTGATCTTTCCTACACGTACGCCACTTTGATAATCTACCTAAGATTTCAAAATAGAAACTTTGATGACTGCTACAACTTCCTCAGAAGCTTTGGCCCGATCTTTGAAAGAGAACACACGCCACCAATTTTCTCTTTTATTCACACAAACAAAAATACGCAGACAAAGATTCACATCATACATAAAGATGAGCATGTAAGATAACAACACACAACAAAAGCAGCAACCCGAAGATAATAGAATGAACCAAAATAGAGATCCAGCTAGTCTTCATGTTCATGAAATCAACAGGGTTGTGCCTCCCTGGCAACTGGAAGATCACTCCGGGGCTCAAGAAGGCAAAGAGAGCCGTCGCAATTATAGGAGAAGCCCAATCCTTCATTTTTTTTTCTAAAAACTAGATTTTGCGATTAAAAAAAAAGAAAAAAACAAAAAACTTTGGGTACTTGAGGGCTTGATATAGAGATTTTCAGGTCGAAGATGATACATATGGACTTTATATTCAGAGTTGAGGATATTATATAAAAATGTTAACTTTAGTTGCGAAGCTAAAGTGGTTACTGGTTTTGTTGAGAATATTTTGATGTTACTAGCTTTAGCTTTAGTTTTTAGAATATATGCTACGGGAAAGTATGTCATATGTGAGGTCTCGAGCCACACGAACAAATCATGTCGGTTGAAAATTAGGCATCGAATCTCTTCTTCTTATTATTATTATTTTTTGAGAGGCGCTACAGTCACACCTTAAATCACACCCCTATCCACACTCCTCTCTCGTTACAGTGTACTGGGGTCCACATGAATTTTTTTTCAAATTCTCATGTGGGCCCCAGTGCACTATAGTGAGAGAGGAGTGCGGTTAAGTATGTGGTTTAAGGGTGTGCCTCTAGTATTTTCCTTATTTTTTTAAATTAGGCTAATTGCGGATGAACTTTGTACTATCGTCAATTGGAGCTCACCATGCTTATTGTTTTAAGGTCGCATATGACCCTCTAAGTGAAATTTTCTTGCCTCTTTTCGAGGGGTCCATGTCAAACAACATGATTTCATTCAAGGGGCCTATTTGCAACAGCAGAACTCTTTCAGGTGGTCTATCACAACAATAAGAGTACAGGGTAAGTTCTATTTTTGGCAATCCGCAAATAAAAACTTTAAATTTCTACTGTTTAAGTGGCGTCTGCATATTTAGATCAGACTGTAAAAGATAGGGAAGATATTATGAAGGCGGGAAAAGAGAAATTTTCATCATAAAAGAGAAATCTCAGTCTTACTACATATTGGGAAGCAAATTTTTAACAGAAAATTACTATTCAAATTTTGGGGAGCTTATGAAACCTTTAGTACTACCTAGAAGAAACCTTAGTTTAGGAATAATTATTTGATGTAGCCAAAAATCTGGATCAAAGATAACCATTAATGGCTTATCTAGAAGAAGTTCGGTAGAGTCAAGCATAGGAAGATGCATATAGGGGGTGTTTGACAATCTGAAAGTGAATTTAAAATATGTAAGTTACTTTTTTTTACAAATGAATTTTACATCCATGTCAGCACACAAGTGAAATACAGTGTTTGTTTGAAAAATTAAATTATTATCGAAAGTGTAATGTGAAGATGATGTGGCATAATAAGATTAATTAGAAAGTATAATTAAAATCATTTGTGAAAATTAGTTACATTTTTGTCACTTTCATGTGACTTCACCACTTTTTTAGGGGAAGTCAAAATTATATTAAATCATATGTGGTAACTTTCTTGCATCTCACTTTCATAACCACTTACATGAAAACAAACACCTTAATTGTTAAATGAAAGTAACTTTCTTACTTTTATCTTTCACTTGCATGCAAACAAACACCCCCTAAATCATATGTGGTAACTTTCTTGTATCTCACTTTCATAACCACTTACATGAAAATAAACACCTTAATTGTTAAATAAAAGTAACTTTCTTACTTCTATTTTTCACTTGCATGCAAATAAACACCCCCATAGTGCATTGGGGGCAGTTATACCCCCTAGAGATCCGAACATTACAATTTAAACCCTTGTAAAGTTACAACATTTCCCCCTAAATTTAAACAATTTGTAATCCAACCTGATATAGCCACTAACGAAATTAGTAGCCCATTACATTTACCTCATTTTAAATTAGTAGTCTAATCACTTCTCACATAATCAAGTCAGATAGGCTCAAACAATAAAAGTCCAAACACTAAAAACTCAAACAATTAGGCCAAATATAATGGAATGAAGCTAATAGAGTGTATCGAGTGCATTCCCATCAAGTACAATAAATTTATAATATTATATTTTTATTTTTTTATAAATAGATTCTTATCGTCCGCTCCTCTATAAAAGTTTTTTGGGGATCCGCTATTGGACACACAACAACTATCCAGAAGAATTAATCTCTCAATTTTAGGGCGATCTTCGTGCATTATAGCGGGTGATTTTTCCCCTGCTATCGTGCGCCACCGTCTAGATTCAAATGATGAAGAAGAAGAAAAATGACAGCAAGAGAATCATTAATACTGAGTTGAGAGATTCAATCTTTGTTTATCCTCCTTCATCCTGTGTTGTTGATGAAACAGTGGAGATCGATGAAACAGTGAAGGCGAGTTCCTCATTCTCGAAGGCGATGGAGAGCACATGACCGAAAGGAGGTAAGAGAAAAGTGCTAATGGAGGAGATCCTAGCTAGAACAGATTCTCTTTTAGATCCACTTCAACTTAGATCTGGTCAAATCCCCACTCGTCAGCTAAGTAAATCTCATAACTCTATTTCATGGGTTGATGATGTGGAAGTGGATATTGTATCTGATATGGCTGACAATGCTAAGATGATTGATGGGAATATTAAGGTTTCGATCTGATATGGCTGCTACTTTCTTTGCGGAGGAATGGAAGGAGGGAGAGGATTACTGGAAATACTCTTTGATAGGACATGTCATTGAGTTACATGTAAAATTCAGATCTATGGAAGCATATATAAACAAAGTGTGGAGTAAAATCTCTATTCCTAAAATTTCTTTAATCAAGCAAGGAGTATTCTTGTTTGATTTTCAATTAGAACAGCAGATGAGGGATGTTCTAGAGGCAAGCCCTTGGTTTTTTGGTTCTAGGCCACTGGTCCTTAAGCCATGGACCATTGATACAGAAATAGAGAAAATTCAGGATTGTTTCTATCCAATGTGGGTTCAATTCCCTAACATACGGCTTAATCTACGGAGTCCAATTGGTATAAGCAAAGTTTCAAGTCTTATTGGATGCCCTATAACGACTGATATGCTCACAGCTACAAGGAAAAGGCTAAGCTATGCTAGAGTACTATTAGAAGTGAAGTTACCTAAAGGAGCCTTTACCTAATTATCTTGTTATTCAAGGGCCTGATGGTAAGAGTTATAATCAGAAAGTCATATATGAACTCAAACCAAGATGTTGTCCTAATTACAATATTGTTGGGCATGAAACTGATCAATGTAGAAGACAAAATGTTAGAAAGATGTGGGTACTTGTTAATAAACAGATTGGAAAAGATGCACAGCCTCATGTAGATAATACACAGTTAGGGACTGGTGAAAGGGTAAATAATTCTGAGCAAGTTGCACATATATCTGGAAAAGATGCACAGCCTCATGTAGGAAATACAAGGCCAGGAAGCGGTTGAAAGGGTAATCAGTTCTGGAAAAGATGCACATATGTCTAGAAAAGATGCACAACAAAGGATTGTTGAAAACATGTACAATATGAATGATGAAAGAGATATCATTGCTGGACAATCTGGTACACAAACAATTGGAAAACATGCACAATATGAATCTACTATGCGAAGTATCAGACATGGAATTTCTGGACTTGCTAATGCTTTTCAGTTTTCATCTCCAATTATTAATGCATCTGGATTTACAAGTGTTAGCAGAGCTAAGGTTGCAAGGAGGGCAAATATAAATGTTACCGGTGCTTCAATTCAGCCATCTCATTTCTCTCCTTTGGATCCTCAGGTATATGATTTTGACCCCTGTTATATTGATAAGGGTGGAACTCAATAATGCATCTAGCTATTTGAAATATTAGGGGATTCAACAAATTCTCTAGACATATGATTGTCAAGCAATTCATACATGATTACAATCTTTCATTTATAGCTCTTTTAGAAACAAAACTCACTGGAGATAAGATGAATTACATTACAAAGAAAATAGCAAAGGATTGGAAGTGGATCTCAAATGTTCAGGAAGCAAATAATGGGAAATTTTGGTTACTCTGGAATAATGATATCCTCACAATTCAGAGTATTAAATCTTCTGAGCAATATTTGACATGTTCAGTTCAATCTAAAGATGGTAGACTTTCATGTCTGATATCCATAGTTTATGTATTCAACAAAACCCTAACGCCACTAGGAAGTGCTCTGATACCAATTGAAAGCACGCTAGATAGGGGGGAGGGAGGTGAATACGGTTTATGCTAATCTAATCCGATTTATACTAAATTAAAAACTTATAAATAAATATATCCTAGTAAGAATGATATGCAATAATTATATGCAAGGATAAGCAATATAAATAAGGGTGAAACAAGATAAACAAATACAAACGATATAGTGGATTAATTATACAAAAGAGAATGGCGATAGAGATAAACAAACTATAAGTGTACAAGCCAAACTCAAACACACAAGAAATGATCACGGAGTTCGGACCTTCCGTCCTACGTCTCCGCTCTCCACTTTCGGGGAAAAATCCACTACCACACCGGGTTTTCGACGCTCACCCGAAAACGTTTATACTATACAATATCGGTTTTCAATGCTCACATGTTAACGTTTACACTACACAAATCCCACCTCAAGTGTTGGCCTCTCATGTGTCTTCCTCAAGTGCTCGGAATTACTACCTCTCACTAGACTTTACTACCGACGCTACTCCTCTTGGGACCGACCATGTCTCTCACCTCTACACTCCTCTTGGTGTACTTATGTAATACAAAGTGACCTCATAAATGAAAGCTCAAATATAAATAATTTGTTCTTTACAATAGATGATAACTCAATGAAAGCTCACTCTCTAAGTCACAAACCCACAACCCCAAATTATACTATGTATGCAAAAATAATAAGCTCAATGTGGGTATGTGTAACAAAGAGATTAAATAAAACAAACTAAACTCAAATAAATCTAGCTTTAATAAAAATGATTAACAAAAAAATAAATATAAAGCTAGAAAGTGTTTAGGGAAACTTCTCTATAGATCAAGAGTGAGAGAGAGAATGGAATGAAGCTCAAACACCAAAGATTGTCTCCTCTTGCTCTTGTGAAAATCTCTTCACAAACAAACTTGAAACAAACACAAAAACAAACTTAAACCCTTGTTAAATTTTTGTAAACTTGTATAAATAATTTTTTAGATACAAAACAGAGCTGGGTATAAGAGGGTATATATAGGGAACCCCAAAGATC